ACTGCTGGCCCCCTTGGTATTTCACAACTTTCATTTCTGACTCTGAGGAAGACTCCTAAATCAATATAGAGGGTGGTCAGAATGGACTGGGCCATTAAGGGAACTGAGCTGAACAAGCAAAAAACCAAAATGAAATAAAAACAAAATAAAACAAGCCGTCAAAAAGTCTCCAGTGAAAGTTCCAAGTGTTTGTTCTTCTCAAAGTCTCCAGGGTCATTTTGGGTTTTAATGAACTCTTGGTGGGTTGCAGCCATAGCTCTGGTTATCTATTTGCAATGGACAGAAAGGAGACCAATTAGCATATGCAGTGAGAGTTCAGTACTAGAATTTCCACAAGGCCAAGTCAAGAGGAGTTCCCATTGTCCCGCTACAATGAGGGTTAGAGAAGAGCTAGCATGCCCCGGGATACAAGGTCTTGGAGTTCTGGACCCATCCCAACATTCCATCGCCTCTCAGCTGAAGGAGGCGGATCTCTAATTGTCCTGATCTAAGTATCCTGCCACTGGACCCAGAGGGCTCCAGAAAAGAGAGTGAGGCTGGTGACTTTATCCAGCCCTGCCTCACTTAAATCCAATTCATTTGCAAGTCAAGACATCACCTGCCTGAAGTCTTTGGTCCTCTTCCAGAACAAACAACAAGCTGAAGGGAAAAGGCTTTACGTTCTCCTTGGGTTCAAATACACTACTCTCAGCTACCAACCTCTTATCCGTTAATCCTTACCCTGGAGACTACTGGCGTCTGGGCAGTTTCCTTGCCCTCCCCCCCTCCCCTGTCCTCCTCAACCCTAGGCTCACCAAATGCTAGAGCTAGAAGGGGTCTTAGATAGGGGTGGGGAACCTGTGGCCTCGAGGCCACATGTAGCCCTCTAGGTCCTCGGGTGCGGCCGTTTGTCTGAATCCAAACTTCATGGAACAAATCCCTGTAATAAAAGGATTTGTTCTGTAAAACCTGGACTCAGTCAAAAGGGCCACACCCAAACACCTAGAAGGTCACATGTGGCCTCAGGGCTGCAGGTTCCCCACCCTTGGTTTAGGTCTCAATCCAGTACTCTCATTTTCTAGATGAGGAAACTGAGGTTCAAGTAGTTCCTAGGATTTGCCTAAAATCACAGAAGTAATTAAGTAGAAGAGCTAGGATTCAAAGTTATGTCCCTTAATCCCAAGGCCTGAACTGCTTAAAATACTATTCATTTTCTACCCCATCACTCAGTTCTCAGACCCATATAAATAATGTTATAGAGGAAACATGATTGTTCTTTTTGTGTCTTGAAACTCTTTAATTTCCAAAATATCTAACTTGATTGTATACCCAGCACTTATCACAGGGCCTGCTATTAAGTGCTTAATTAATACTTTATCCATCTAAATTGGCCAAGAGAAGTCAAGAAGAAATGGGCCAAAACTGCACTAGAGGGGTTAGCAGAAAGAACTTCCAAACTGCTTTACTCACCCATAAAGGCTGTAGGTTTTCCCTTCCCAGGAGGGATGTAAGAATAGGAAACAGGCATGTCTAACTGATGGGGAGCAGGAAAGAGACTAAATGACTTTTTCAAGTCAAAGGGAAAAAATAACTTTCCTGGTCTGGGAATGACTGTGGGCCAAGTCTAAAGAGACTTTCACCACCTTTCTGTTATCTCTTAATGTCTGCTGCATTTGAGGTGACCTGTACTGAAGAATCAGAGATGGAGATTCCTGGGGTCTGTCTGCCAAAGGATTAAGATTGTTAGTTTGAGAGTCTTCTTTGCCCTGACACTGTATGGAGTGGACAGGAGACAGATAACGGCTATCTTTCGCACCCTTCTCCATCTCTAACGAGTGGTCGCTGACAGCCTGCATGCTCCACTGTGTCCAGCCAGATGAGGTAGCCCTAGCTGACCTCAGTGCCCTGAGGACACTGCAGCTGAGAAAAGGTGGGGAGGAGACAAGAATGAGAGGGATGGGAGCTGGATGATGGGGTAGCAAAAAGTCCAAGCTGGCTATTTTCATTGAGAATCTTCCAATGAGTCATGATGGTTGGCCACTGTTAATTTCCTGGCTGCATAGTATGTGTGGGAAGAAGGGTCTCTATTAATCCAGCTGCTCTGGAAACAAACACTTCAGGAGTATGCCAGCACCAATCTAAGAGAACCAGCTTTCTCCTTTGGTAGGAAAGATGAAAAGTAGAGAAGGCAGATGAGGAGAGAGAAACAAGGATAATGATGGGGTTGGAAGTTTCTGCAGACCAAAGGTCAGTCAGGCTTTGGCCATCTTTGAAAGCTACCCAAAGGTTCTAAGCGCAACTAGAGTATAGTTGGTTTTCCACCACTTACTTCCCCTAGCCAAAGATTTTTTGCTATTAGCTTTTCTCACCTACCCTAGAGGAGGTTCCCCACATTTTTACCTTGTTCAGATTCTGAGAAGATTTTCTTCACCTCTGGAAGGTGCCAGGAAGGAGCCTGTGCAGATCACTGAGCTATTTCTCAGAGTCTAAAAAGGCTAGAGGAATGGATGTGGGGCAAAGCTGGATAGAGCCAGCAAAGACATGAAAAAGTAAAGCCACACCCTGGGGCCAGCTAGACACCTGGAGGCCTATTGTTTCAGTAATTCCAGGTCTGAAGATGGGGTTTGGGAGGAGTCCCAGGAAACTGGAAGAGAGAATCCAATGAGGTAGCAAATGAAAAGCTCATTGAAAGACCTTCAAGAGATATATGGATGATAGCTATTGCTAATTGTGATCACATTCTTATTGTGATCACTGAGACACAATCCAGAAGAGTGAAGTTGAGGAAAACCAGATATGAAGGAAAGCTTGGGAAAGGGAGTAACGATACTTCCTCATTCTGTAAAGTAGGAGTTCTTGACCTAGGGGTCTGATTTAAAAGGGTGTGAACTTGGATAAGAAAATTTTACATCTTTATTTCAGTATCATTTCTTTCCTTTGTAATCTTATGGAATTGATTTAATAAATGTTTTTTCATTCATTCATTCATTCATTCATTCATTCATTCATTCTCTCCTATGAGTTCCATTGATCTGCAGTCCCCAACCTTTGGTAACAATAAGTAGTGATAAAGGTATATTTCAAAGGAGCTGAAGATTCTCTACCCAGTCCCTTATCACCTTTTCCATCACATCTCTCATCTCAGATCATCCCTCCACCCTGCCAGAGCAGCAAACACAGCAACAAAACCACCATAGTAGCAGGCAGCTCTTCTAGCACATCTTACCACCACTACCACTTCAATGCTTCGATTGGTCTCTGTCTTTTCGTTGAAGAACACACAATTGTTAGTTATCTCTAGTCCTCTCCCATCAGAACTCCTCACACAGACCCCGTTGGAGAAACATTCTAAGCATGTTTTGTTTTAAGAGTTAGGGTTAAAACAGGCACATCGTGGGATAGCAGATCCATTACACTTCAGAAACCCTCCAAGACCAAATCCTTGAGAAAGACAGAAACCTGCTCTCTTATTTATTCAGGGGTAGAATAGCTTAGATGTGGCCTCAGGTTCCACAGAAGATTTGAGGTTTTGCCCAGTTTTCTAGCTGAGAAATCAGAAATACAGGGATGTCAAGCACTTTCCCCAAGGTCACTCGGTGGGTGGTGGCTGCTCAGCTGGGATTTAGAGCCTAAGATCCTTCCCAGTTACTAGTCAGGTTCCCTAACCACTAGACCACACAGCCAATGTTTAATGTATGCTCAGCAAACCTCAAATCCCTGGACTGGAGAAATAAGATCTTCCCAAAACAGAGCTCTTTTTGTGAACCATTCCAGCCAAAAATATGTATGTATGTATAATGTATGTGTGTAAATATGTATGTGTGTGTATGTGTGTGTGTGTGTGTGTGTGTGTGTGTGTGTGTATATATATGTATATATGTTAGGATTCATGTTGAGAACACTGGTGTTAATTAAAAGCATCTAACTTCTACAGTTTGGGCAACAAGAATAGAATACTACAACCTTGGACTCTTGTCCTGGAGTACCTTTCTCCAAAGAGCTCCATGTTCTTTGCAAATAAAATTGAATTCATCTCATGTCATCTCTGCAAGGGATTTATAGGCAGATACTATTGTTCTAATTTTACAACTAGCTCAGTCCAATAACTAGCAGACAAATATTTACTGAATTAAATTGCTTTGAAAGAATTGAGTCACCAAAATTGTATGCTATAGGACCACAGCCATGTAATAAACTAGTGGCAAAGAGAGGAAGGAGGAAGCAAGCCTCTTGTTTTCAAGTTCTATGCATTCTAATTAGGTTATGAATTGTAACAATCAAGTAGCTTGAGTAGCTTATAAATGTTTAGAATATGTTCCTCCTCTCAATTTAGACCAAAATGCACCTTAATTGGAACAAAACCTTTGATACAGTATATTCAAGGATTCTGATTTCAGTGGTCTTCCTCACATTGTTCTTGGGGAGGCAGCTGGATAGCATAGTGGATAGAATGCTGAACCTGGAGTTCAAATTCTGCCTCAGATACTTAATAATTCTGTGACCTTGGACAAATCGCTTAACCATTGTTTGCCTGTATGCCTGTGGAGCAGTCTAGATATTTTCAAGAAGGTTGAGCATAAGGTGATAATTTTTTTGGCTATATTAACTCCTGACTAAGATATGTGATCCCCACTGGGGTTGTCGGGGCAGTGTGGTACAGTGAAAAGAGCTCTGTATTTGGAACTAGAAGACCTGAGTTTGAATTCCAGCCATACCATTTATGGTGTGACCATTGATGATTCCCTTCGGTCCATTTGCTCATCTGAAATATAAGAGTAGAAAGAATGTTGGACCAAGGGATTCCTAAAGATCACTTTTGGTTCTAAATCTGTGGGGAAAAATACTCACACAAAGTGAAATCATATAGTATAGAAGTTATAAAATGTTCTAAAACACAAATATGGAAGTTCTGATAGATTATCACCAAGTGCCTTCATCCCTGCATTTGCCTCTTGTTGGTCAAAGTGTATTTTTTTAATTAACTGATGAACCAGACAGGAAAAAATCAAGCCAAACCCACATCGTTATGAATGATTTTTTTTTAATCTCACACAGTTTAAAATACAGTATGAAATCAGGCTACAGTATATAAAAAACTCTCCAGCAAAATGATGTGCCAGCATCAGCTACTAAAACAAATGGAAAAAAAAATCTCCCCCATAAGAAATGGCTTTTTTTGCATTTTCTTAAAAAAAAAACACAATAAAACATAGACACGTACATCGCTACATCTCTAAGCTACCTCAGCTCCAATTTTTTAAAAAGCACCTGCTTTTCCTTTTTTTAAATCTTGCTTTTAAAATTTCCACTTTTAAAAAATATAAATTATATGAAAATACAAGTTGGAAAATAGTCAAACACAATATAACATTTTCCCCCCTACACTTCTCAGCTTAAAAAAATTCTTATGTAAAAAAACAACAATGTTCAATAACTGAGGCAGTATTCCTGGTGGAGATATTTCCATTACAATATATATTTTATATTATATATGTATATACGTATACATATATTTATTGTTCCTTGAAACTTCTTTGGAATGTAGGCAATAATTCAACGGATTTATATAGACCCCAACAGAGAAAGCAGCATGCACAGCATGACCAGAGTAGAGATGGTGTGTTTGTCCACCACGAAGAGAAGGTAGGTTTAATGCTCCAAAAACCCAGAGTGTTCAACACCAAAGTAAGGACAGGCAACACTGGGGGACATCCAGCTGACCTGTTCAGAGAGGGCCCCAACCTTTTGATGTTCCTTCCAACCCTTTTAGCCATGGAATTGGGCTAAATAGGTTATCCTTCTACTGGAGAGAAGGGGGAACAGGAGAGAACCTGAAGCCAAAATCCATTGACAGTACATTAGACATCTCCATAAAAGTCGGGGTGACATCAAGCTGAACCAGAATTGCCCATCCCTTCTCTAGAGTTAACGTGTTGTTGTTTTTTTTAAATGAAAGAAAAGCAAAAAGGTAACAATTCAGGTACATTTCCAGTGTATAAACCATCCACCATTCATTCTGGGATGGTCTGTCTTTTGGACAGAGAGAGGGAGAACAAGAATCTGGCTAGGCCAAGAAATTTTCTGGGCAAAAGCAGAAGCTGCAAATACTGAGTATGGTGGCATTAAGGAGGGATTGGGGGTGGGAGTAAAATGGCCCTTATGAAAAGCAAGGTCTGTAAGGTCTAGGAACTGCTAGGTATTTCAGCACTCTCCTATGTTTACTATACAACTGTAGGAATTATGGAATTGTTTGAAAAGCAGGTATTTTCAGCCTAAATTCAAAAGGAGAAGGGCAATGAGATGAATACATGATTTATGCCAGGTTGCAAATATAGCAAGCAAAGAGCTACGGCAAGCCACAGGTTTTCTTTCCCCCACTGCTGAAATAGGAAAATACTGAACTGGGAAACTCAAACACTATTTCAAAATTTTATAGCACATGCGAATACACACACACACACACACACACACACACACACACAGAAGGAGAGGGGAGAGAGAGAGAGAGAGAGAGAGAGAGAGAGAGAGAGAGAGAGAGCGCTTTGCCAGTGACCAACAAGACAATAAAATGTGGGGGAAAGCAACATAGTCCAACTTGTTCCACCAAAGACCTCCCTGAGCAGCCCCAAAAATCACAATGGGAACTTTTTTAAGGCACCTGGCATAACAGGCAAAATGCATAATGGCCTGACATAACTTCACTTTGTCCACCACTTCCTGTCTTCACCTTAGCAAGCTTGGGACAGTCATGGATCAATCACAAAGCCCCTTTTTTGATGATCCAGGCTTTGGGAGCTGACCTAAGAGTAAGTCTTCTCTTTCCTTGGATATATACCACAAGGTAGTTTAAACATCCAATTCCTCATTGAGAGTCTAGAAAGGGCTGGCCTGGAAGCAACCCATCTTGAATTTTTTTTTTCCATTCTCATTCTAAAAGCTAAACTCAAGTCCTCCTTTCATTTTTTTCCTTCATCATCTTGTTTATCAGGTATCCATCAAGGTACTATACTAACATCAGGCACTTTTTTTTTTCTAACTAGCTGCTTATTTCCCCCCTAACAACCACATTTTCACCCAAGATTGAGACAATGATTCTCAAGGGCAATGCCCAAGTAAAAAAAAATGGAAAGCACTGAACTCTTGGGGTCCCATGGGGAAGGGAGAGGTGTTCTCTTACAACACACGGATTACCTTTTCTTACTAAATCTAGTCTCCTCCCATCATGCTCCCATGCAAACCTTTCCTCTCCTCTACACCATCTATCCATCCTTACTTCTTCTGTAACAAGATAACATATCCAAGGACCAGGCCCTAAGAAGGCCCATACTGACTACATGCTTAACATCCCTAGACTCAGCTGACCTCATTTCTTTAAAGGAAGGCCTCAGGCTTTTTCCCCCTGTGGAATTCTACACCAAGCTGTTTGCTACGCACTGCTATCTAAACTTCTATAACTCCCCTCCTTGCTAAAACTCAACCAGCCAAAATGGCTTAATTAGAAAAATCTCCAGATCTTACCTCTCTCCTGTAGCTTCCTCCCATTCATTATTTAGTAAATTACAACTTTCTCCTTACTGAGAAATGGGGGGATGGAAGGGGAGGGAGAGAGAGGAGACAACAGAAGAATTATGTGTGATGATCCCAGCCTGGAGGGTTTAGGGGTGGGGGTGCTTAGGTGGATGGCTAGGACCTCGATGCACTCAGAACTCATTTCTCTAGATCTGATAGCTATCTTACATGCCTACACCTTTGTTTTTTTTAATCTACATATACAATTGAGAACTAACAGGGAACTATCTCCAAATTCATCTTCCCCTCTCACTTTCTTTTCTACTACTAGGCCAGTGCTACTACAATTACTACAGTTCCAGGTTACAGCTGTGTAATACATTCAGTTAAAAGACTTAATGATTTTCTTAGTTCTGCATTAAGTCCAAACCCCAAGAGTCTGCTAATGGCAAATGAGAAAATGGATGTGATGATAAGAAATATTCACGGGTGAGATTCACATGCACCGAAGAACATTTTCCATCCCTGACATCCAAATCAGCCTTATTTTTCCTACATCTGCAGGTCTTAAATTTTGGACTTCTGAATCTCAATGACAACGCTACACTTTTCCAGTGGGGTCTATATAAATAGTTTTCTTTCACTGTGACCGAATTCTCAGCCGGCACATAGAACAAACTCGCACAGAATGGCAATACTGAGACCACCTTAGAGCTTAAGACGATTTTTAAGAAAAAAAAAATACTGGCACAAAATTTAATAAAATAAATTTTAAACACAAAAAAAAACTTTGGTCCCCTCCCCACTGAAGTCCATTTTTTGCTCCAAAAGCAGAGTAAAAGGCAAATAGTAAAATTCTTGTGTTTTTCCAAGGTCCATCACCAGAACAGAACCTTCTATCCCACCCTTTTTGCCCTCCCAGCCCTTAAAAAAAATCTACCCTTTCATCAGTCTTTTGACTTCCTGAAGTGTCAGTTTCTTTTGCTTATTAATAAGGCCATAACCAAAGTGGCATCTTTTCAATGAATGGTTTCTATAAATGATTCAATATTGGACTGTTTTCCTCATTTAAACCAGATTCTTCTGGCTTCTATGAAGACCCTCCCTTCCCCTTAAAAATCTGTCCTTGCCTAGTTCAGAAGTCCTTCCTTGCTTTTCTTTGGTGGCCATACCACCATCAGTTATAGCTTCGGCTCAGTTTCCCACCCCTGAATGTAAAAACTGAGTTTCCTCATGTCTGGAAAACAATAATAATAAAAACAAAAACAAAAAAACATAACAACAATTTAAAATCAAGAGTCCGACTGATGCAGTTGATCTTTGAAATGCTTCAGCAAAGTTCTCTCCATTTTCTTCTATCTCTGTCACTCATCTGCATCAGGTTTGACATCTAACATGGCATGGAGTTCCTCAGGCGTGTACCCAAGCAGGCTCTGCAGGTCACAGACAAAGCGATAAACGTAGCGTTTACCCGCCGTCTTGTGGATGATGTTTTTGTCGTAGTAGTAACGAAGGCCTCGGCTCAGTTTTTCGTAGTTCATCTTAGGCTTGTTTTTCCTTTTGCCCCATCTCCTGGCCACCTGGAAGGAGGCAGTGGAATAAAAATAATTAATACTGTAATTTTAAAATGTCAGATTATATGCCCACACTGACATGTGGCATGTAGCATCATAAAGAATTGGAACATTATATGTAAAAAAAAAATAAAAATTGTAGCAGCTCTTTTTTAGTAGTGAAGGAAAAAAACAATCTCTCAGGTGGTGCCCACCTATTCTATTGCAAAATGGCTAAAAAATTGTGGCATATGAAAATAACAGGATGTTATTACTGACCTGTAAAAAAATGAAATGGATTGTTTTAGAAAAAAACTGGGAAGAACTGTATGAACTGACGCAGAGTGAACTGGCCGGAACCAGGAGTACAATTAATGCAACAATATTATAAAGAAACACAATTTCTTAAAGACTTGAGAATTCTGATCAATGTAATTAATTATAAACCATTATTCCAGAGGCCTAAAGATGAAGCATGCTATTCATCTCCCTGTCAGAGAGGTGCTAGACTCAAGGTTCAGAATAAGGTACACATTTTTGGATATAGTTAATTCAGAAATTTTCATTGTTCAACTACAAATATTTATCATAGGGGTTTCCTCTTGCCTTCTTTTTGTTTGTTTGGGAGATGGGATGGAGAAAAAAAAAATGTTTAGTTAAAAAACTTATTTTTATTTTTAAAATAAAATTTTAGTTAAAAATTAAACTAAATTTTAAAAAAGAATTATGAAGTTAGAAGACATTTTGGTAAGTTCTATTTTTTAATGGCCAGGGAAAAATCAAAGTTGGTAGATTTTTGTTTCAGTCAGCAATGAATCCCAATATGGAAGAAGTGGGGAAATTAATCTAGGACCCTAAACAATGAGTAGAGACAAAACTTCTCAATTTGGAAAAAGAACAAAAGCAAAAGCCCTACTCTGGCATCAATACTATTAACAGCATTTAGTCATCTCAGGAATGACTTATGTGATTCAAGGAGATAGGCAGGTCCTTCCATCAATATGTAAAGGTCTGAGAAAACCCCCAAATCTTTCACATGACTACAACAATACCCCTTACTTAAGATACAAGAAGGTGAAGAATTCCAAGGCTTCATAAACATACTTGGGCTCATCACTTTCCCTCTCTAGGCCTTACTTTCCTCATCTATAAAATGAGGGTAGAAAAGATGATTATTAAGATTTCTACCAGCTCTAGGTCCCATGATGCCCAAATGGTCAAGAATTCATATCACTGGAAAAATGGAATGTGACATGCAGCTCCAAGCTAGTCCAGAGTTCTTTCTCATAGTACTCTCAATATATTCCCTTCTTACCTCATCTGGGTCAGAGAGCTTGAATTCCCAGCCATCTCCTGTCCAGCTAATAAATGACTGACAGGATTTATCCGTGAGTAACTCCAGAAGAAACTGCCACAGCTGGATTGGTCCACTGCCTAGAAACACAAATAATTGTGAAGCATTATACCAGATGCATCTCACTTTTCACAAGTGTAACTGAATTACAGAGCTTTCTCTCCTCCCCTCCTACTTTCCATTCATCTCCAGGACAAAACAAAGATGTGCATAGTACAAATGTTATAGTCAGGTTATGATTAGATGAAGTAGAAAGAAAGGCAAAGAGTTTTCTTCCAAAAACTACCATTTAAAGACATATCAACGGCCTTCTTATTTCTGATTAACCCATATCGTAATCACATTATCATTAACCAATATCACTTATAATCAATAAGTAACATATATATGCTACTTTACTTATCTTTTGAGATTTACTATGGTGTTGTAGCTTTCTCTCCATGATTTTCAAACAGAAAAAATCAAGTCATTATATTTTCCAAAAAGAATGTTAGAATGTGAGGCAGGGAGGATGGGATAAATATTTCTTTATCTTAGGTTTGGCTTCCTGACTTGCAAATTGGAAGGATCTCTATCATCAAGTCACTTCCTTGGGAATTAGATGTGTTTAACACCTCTCTCTTCTCTCCACTTTTAATTCCACACTCTCTACATTCTGAGAAATAGAAAGAGAAATATTTTTGGATATGACCAATTCAGAAATTTGTTCTGCTTAACTATATATAGTTACCACAAAAGGTTTTTTCTTTCTTCCTTTCTTTCTTTCTTTCTTTCTTTCTTTCTTTCTTTCTTTCTTTCTTTCTTTCTTTCTTTCTTCCTTCCTTCCTTCCTTCCTTCCTTCCTTCCTTCCTTCCTTCCTTCCTTCCTTCCTTCCTTCCTTTCTTTCTTTCTTTCTTTCTTTCTTTCTTTCTTTCTTTCTTTCTTCCTTCCTTTAATTTTTTTTTATTGTAAACAAAGGAAATAATTTACCATCTAAGTAACCCTAAGTGGCTGGATTGAGAACCATATTGGAAATTCTTCATGCATGGAGTCACTGAACTCTACTTTTAAAAACTATTTATCCCTTGTCTTGGACTTTAGAGCTGTCAAACCCTAAGATCTGCTAGGGCTCAAACAATCTAGTGGTCTGTTTATTTTATACTGAAAGCTACATGTCACAGCTCCTTCCATGGCTTTTCTTTTTCAATACTTTTATTATCCAATACTCCACTGGTACTAATCTCTGTACTTTCATATGGCCATAAATGAAAAGATTAGTGTATGACCAACAGGCCTTTTTTTTTTTTTTAATATCAGTGTAGGCAGCGAACCTTAGAAAAATACCATGGGCATAATATGAGCAGAGGTAGAAGTCAATACTATAGTATGATGTTATGTCTAGGCTGTGGATGAGTTGACTTATAAGGATGTAGCTTGAACATGGAAAAGCCAGCATTTCAATGCTCCAGATCTGTTCAGTTTCAGAGTATCCCTTTGCTTCTGGCATACTGAGATAAAATAAGCTTTTTAAAGGAGTTCATCTGCAGACTTTAGCTCTATTCTCAACCTAACATAGAAAAGCCATATATAGTAGGTAAGAAAAGAAGTCTCTACAGCTAGAGGGGAAGGAACTACAAACATCAGCTGTCATGTGGTGGCCAAAGAAAGGCCAATTCTTTCAGGAACAGTTCTTGACAGTGGCTTATCAGACACACCATTGGTCTCCATAAAAACCATAACTCAAAGCTGGCCATCCCCAGTTCTTCTTTCTTTTTTGGTCTCGTCCTTGTGATTTCATCAGTACATAGAGCTCCCCACCGAGGAAGCATGCTAACCAACGTAGATGGCACTTGCCTTGTAACCTACAGCCTTAGAGTTGTCTGGGGGCTCTGAAAGGTTAAGTGACTTGTCCAAAGTCACTAGCCACTAGCCAGTGTGTGGCAGAAGAGGGCTAGGAGCCAGGTTTCCCAATCCTGAAGCCAGCTTCTGATTCCTCTTTTTAATAATACAAGGCAGAGCTTTAACTACATTTAAAGATCATTTTTTAAAAGGAGTAAAAATTTCTGGAAGCTATAATTCTTACATCTATCTTAATGGGGGGGGGAAATTTTAGAGTGCAATAAGACAAAATAAGAGTAAGAAAGTTTTCGAGATAAGTTACTTTCAAACCCACAAAAAACACCCTACAAATAAGGTAAGAAGATTTACATAGGATAAAAAAGACAGCCAATATCTGCCTTTGAGGAAAGTACCTAAGTCACGGTGGGGCCTCTCCCCGTCAAAAGAGAGCTTGAGGGTTTAAATAGAATTGACGGGTATGTATAACTTTTTCTAGCGAAATTAATAAGAATCACTTGAATCCTCCCTGACTGAGACGCCAAGCTAAAGATGAGCAATGACAAAGACTTCCCAGAGATATGCCATCCCAGGGAGCAGGGGGAGGCTAGGAGGTCAGTTGTCCTTACTGTTTATTCTAGAGCTCTGAGCATAACATGCTGTTACAGGTCCCACCCAGCTCTAACATTCTCTGCTTCTGTGATTTCTAGAGGCATAAACATCCTTGGTCTGCGTGCTGTTGACAAGTTGTGGCCCAAGGGGGCCTGAAAGGGAATTTGTGGAGGTTGATGACCTTCATTGGTGAGCAAAGCAATGCAGCAAGAAATTATTCAAACTACACTAAGGAACATTTCCCAAAGCAATCTGGCTTTGAGAGTTTGCAGACTATTTTTTGTGCCACAGAATGAATCTGAAGGTAAAGAAGGAAAGCCCTGTGAGGATACTTTGGGCTACCTGACAATTCATGCATCCTTACACTTCCGGAACGCCACTAGGCAGTCAGGGGTGGTCCCTCTAGGTCTTTAGCAGCAACTCTCCTCCTCAGCTATCGTTTCCTAAGGGACAAGAAGCCCCTGGCTTAAAAAAAAAAATAGTAATTTCTTTCCTCTACTCCACTGTACCATCTAACTTTCTCGTGACCACTGTGATTCTTCTCTACCTTCCAAGCCTCCACTGGCCATTCTAATACTAAGTTTCAATTACCTGCAAGGTTTAGTTTAAGTCTCAGTTCCTCCAAGAAGTATTTTCTTGTCTCGAATGATTTCACCCACATCTGAATTCATTGCCCTGACTCATTTGTTGACACCACTCATGTGTCAATAAAAGCACAGACTGCCTATGGCATCCTTTAGGTTCATTCTGACTTAACTCTTGTATGGCTATGTAACCCCTTACAGGCTTAGCTTTTCTCCTTAACTAGACTCTAAGCTCCCAGAAGTAAGGAATGTGTGCTAGATTACTTTTATGTGCTCTGAAACAACACCTTGCAGAGTGTGTTATAAGGAGCACTCACCAAGGTTGGCCCCAGGGAGAGATAAGAGAAGGTACTTCCCCTGCTTCTTTGCAAAACGGAGTGACTATGAGTGTGGAACACTTCATACAAATCAACTGGTTTTTCTCCCTACTTTTTCTTCTTTTTTGTTACAAGAAATGGCTCTCTGGGAAAGGGAAAGGAATATACAGGGAAATGAAGGCAATATACAAAAAAGAAAAAGATTGTCAATAAAGTTCTCTTAAACAACAACAACAAAATTCAGGTAGGCTAATTCAAGATAAAAGGAATTCATTTATTGCTTACTGTGTGCCAAGCACTAGGGGTACAAATACAAGTAAAGAGAAAGACAGACCCTGCCCTTAAGAAGCTTGCACTCTAATGGGGAAAGACACAAAGGGGAGCTGAAAAGGGGGGTTGGGGATTTACCAGCAGCAGAATAGTGTTCAAGTCTTAAAAATTCAAATGATTGAAATAATAGAACTAAAATGTAAAACATTTAGTCAAGGTAAAAGGGACAAAATACTCCAGGATGGGGAAAGAGGAGGCGAGACTGGGCTCCCTCCGGCCCCTGAAGCACACCATTCATCAGGGTGGAGCAAGCAGAGTTGAGTATGACATTTGGCTGGTTCTTGCCCCAGCACAGAAAAAAAGGGGGATTGAAGTTCAATCTCTGTTGGCACCAAGCCATGGAGGAAAAAGAGTGAAGGTTGTTCTTGCTGGTGCTGCCAGAACCATTTGTCAAGTCTTCCTGTGTGTACATGCCCTTTCCCAGGAAACGTTTGACCGCTTATATGAGAAGAATTGGGGGGAAGGGGGAAAGGGAGGGTCCTTTCTGGGCCTCCTTTCATTAAGACTTTTTCCTTGCTCAAAAAGGACTACAAAAACTTTATGAAACAGCACTGGAAGTTCGGATCCAGTGCTCTATTTGGCTCCTGTGCTTTTTTTGCTCACTGAAGGAAGGAAAGAAGAAAACACAAAAAGATGCTTTTACTCTCCAGAGAAAACCTATTGATCCCCAATAAGAAATTAGTTTTGGGAAAGGAACTTGCAATAGACAAACATCTTTTATTGGCTTCAGGACAAGTCAATCAGACAAGAGTATCTATTGATCACTTTCTAGGTGTCAGGCCTTGTGCAAAGTGCAGAGGATACAAAAAAAAAAAAAAAAGCAAAACTATGGTCAAGACCATGATGATATCAGCCTGTCCCTACTCTTCCACCCCCAAAGAGGCAGGTGGGTAGTACAGTGGATAGAGTGCTACACTGGGAGTCAGGAAGACCCAAGCTCAAATTTGACCTCACACACTTAATCTCTTTTGCTTTTAACAAGTTTACTCAACTGTAAAATGAGGATAATAATAGTACCTACCTCCCAGGGTTGTTGTGAGATCAAATGAGATAATATTTATAAAGTGCCTAGCTCAGAGAAGGCACTTAAAAATGCTTATTTCTTTCCTTCCTTTCCAATATATGACTTTGCAAGCCCTAATCCTAAAACAGAGCTCATCCCAGGATGAGCAAAAAGTTCAGGCTTCTTTCTTTGGCTTTTAGGGAAGTTATTGATCACTCTTTAGAAAACCTTTATTCTTTCAACAAAAGTAAATAAGCCCATAGGTGTAGTATATTGGAAGGGAACTTAGAGGTCACCTGGTTCAACATCCTCATTTTATAGATGAGGAAGTTAAGTGATTTGCAAGGTCACACAGGTAGCAAGTTGACTTGGTTTTGAATTCAGACCCTCTGATATCAAAAGAAAAGAGAAAAAAAAAC